GGAATTCCATGTGAAAGACCAACACAAAGTGGTGTACACGTGAGAAGTGGAACGGAAATCATACATGATTCCAAACATTTTTTACAAATAAATAACTGAAAAGTGGGGTGTGCGTAATTATTCAGCCCCCTTTAGTCTGAGTGCAGTCAGTTGCCCATAGACCTTGCCTGATGATGTTTGTGGCTGTAATGTGACAAAATGTGGAAAAGTTCAAGGGGGCCAAATACTTTTGCAAGCCACTGTATTTTATACTTTGGTCAAATCTGTTTGTGAGTTGTGTCTTGCTTTCCATCTCTGCTCTAAAGTGATGTTAGTGTGACACTGCACACACACTTCAGTAACTGAACTTGTCTTTGGACAGAGCGATCAAGCCCAGGGGACTGCACCTGCTGGGGGCGTCACCTTTTATAACCCCTCACAGTTTGCACAGGTATGAACTCCAAAGTTTCGCAGTTGTGAGAAACCTTTTACAGGGTTTTTGTTTTTGTTTTGTTTTTTTTGGGGGGGGGGTTGGTGTGGGTTTGTGTTTTGCTACTTTTCACCCTACAATCACCTTTCCTTGCTGCTGTTTTTCCTCAGACAAGTGCACCATCAGGAGTACGCTCAGGTCGTTTGGGCGGTCCACGTCAGTACCCAGTGATGAAGTAAAGAACATCCCACTGAAAGAGGCAGACTTGTTGGATAGCAGAGGATTCTAGCTGAAAGTAAAAGAAGCACATGAACAAACTGCTTTATGTCTTAAGGACCCTTCTTCCTGCCTGTACCTAAGAAGAGTATAATCACATTATCCGTCATGTCAGAACTCAACCCTTTTTCTTTCTTTTTTCCTTTTTTTTTTTTCCTTTTTTTTCCCCCCCTCCCCTGTTCAGTAACTATTACTGACTTTGATGTGTTTCTGACACAGGCGTGTTTCCATGAAGGGCTTTTTCTCGCATCCAAATAGAAAACTGACAGTTAAAAAATGGAGGCTGATCTGTGGATGCATTCATACACAAATTGTACATTCATGTAGGTTTGATTTAATGTACAGTAAATGCGTCGATCCTCTAAAGCTACCCGGCTTCCGCACAAACGTAACACTGTTAACAGAATGATCATCCCTTTTCTCGATTCTGTCTCAAGTCCAGATGCCTGTGATTGCTTGTATGTGTGACAGGTAGAAGAGCTGCACTTTGTCTTTCTTTTTTTTAAAATCCAGATTTTGGACTTTTATGTGCAGCTCTTTGGTGTCCTGTCAAATGGAGACTGGTACTGCTTCGTCTGCTATGCCCTTTGCTTTTTCTCAGTCGCCCTTCAGTAATGGAAGCATGATGGATGATGTAGAGAAGAATGAAAGTCTGCAGTGTTAGGATGCTGCGCGTTTCAAATACCTATTTCAACTGCCCATCAATTTTAACGAAGTGTCCACAGGGTCTTTTCGTCCAAGCGAGCTCGAGTTTCTCTCGCAAGAAACTGAATAATGATCTTATCGAGAGGTGGTCTGCAGAACGACAAGAACCGGGATTCAAACTGCATTTTAAATGTCGCTAAAAATGAATCTATCCAAATATTTGTATATCAGATTGATTGTATTTATGAGATGTAGAAATAAAAGTGTGAGTGTGTGTGTTTGTGTGTGTAGAGCAACTAATTTTTCTGATACGCTTTGACAAAATGCATTTATGATTGATTGAGATGACAGATTCATATTCTGATCACCTGTATTGGCCGCTTCTGCAAATAAATCTTTATCTACATTGTAAAATGAAAGAATTTTATTCAAAGTACTTCTTGACATTTAATTGCTGTGATTTTGTTTTTTTGTTTGTTTGGTTTTTTTTTTAATTCAATCATTAGTCATCCCAATTATTATTATTATTATTATTATGATGTAGACAATTTGATTTTAACCCCTTTCTCACTTTTGTTTCAGAGAAGCAGTTGTGGTCTCCAGTGTTTTAGACTCCCTCATGTAAAGTTCTTGACAGAAAACTATAAATACAAAAGGTAGAAATGGGGGGAAAAAAATCATAATAAAGGTATTTTTGGCCCTCTGTAGCACTTTGAAAGAGATGTCCTCTGGTTTCATTCATTACATTGCAGTTTAGAGTCTCGGGAAAGTATAACTGTCAGCTGGGAATGAAAGCAAAAATGCTACCACATTTATAACTAGTAATGCACTTGTGAACAAAGAAGAATATGGTACTCTAAGCAGCAGTAAATGT